GTATATTTCTTTTGCTCAAGTCAGCTACAGTTTTTTTAATAGTCTACAATAAGGTGTTCTTGCAATGCAAAGTTACTGTACATAGCTATATGAGTATCACACATAGCATCAAATATATTTACCTAAATATATATTTATTTTATAAATATAAAAACATGACGTACAAGCGCACACATTTATATATATATATATATATATATATATATATAGAGAGAGAGAGAGACAGACAGAGAGAGCAGCTAATTCCCTCTCTATTATTCTAAATGTACCTCACTTTCAAGATTAGGCACACAAGATATATATAATAACACTCACTGGAAGTAGGGAGGAAGGGTGAGGGTGGGAAGCATGTGACAGGAGGTAAGTATCTATCAGAATCCTTATTTCAGTGTAAGAAAATGATAAATTATGATACAATACATACTTCCACTCACATAACAGCTAGAATCCCACATTGAGTAGGTGTAGGGATCGGTGTAATATATAAAACAAGAGACCTTCTGTGGAAAGCATAAATAGAGAATCAAAAATGGGTGCTTCGTAATAGATGGGAAACACATCTGTGGGGAACCACACCATATCTGGAACAGGTATGCTCATTGCCTTCGAGTAATAGGAGTGTTGTGAAATGGGTGGCATCAAGGCCAGGACTATTAAAAGTAAAAGCCTCGGAAAAAATAAAGAACAGAATATACTCAACCCCAACAGTACAGATGAGGTTCCACATCCCGCCCTCGGTTTTACAAGACAGAGTACTGTCCAAAATAACAAAAGTAGTATTGTGGCCAGTGCAAGCAGACAGTGAATAATATATACACCAACCCCAACAGTAAGTAAATAGAATGCTATGCTGCAAGCAACTGGAATTACAATAAGGAAGTAAGCAAATGGGAGCCTCTGGACAAACTTCCAAGTCAACTGCAGAAGATAGGAAGTGCAATAATCTGAACCTGGAATTACGGGGCCACGTCTAAGCCTCAACCCAGCCATAAGAACAGGGAGTCATCCTGAGCCTGGTATTATGAGCAGGAAAAGAACTCATCCATAAGAGCAGGGGAAAAAAACCCTTTACACCTGGCATTACAAGGAGGATGTGGAACTTCTGCTCAACCATAAGAACAGGGTATACTACTACCGCAACCAGTATTACAAGGAAGACAAAAGTACCACAGGAACAGGTAAATCAGAACATCCTGCAACCAGGATTACCAAGAAGGAGGCATCTACTGGCCTCAACCATGGGAACAGGGCACTATCTACTTGAACTGAGTATTATGAGGAGGATGCAGCATTGGCTGATCCAGCTCTCACCTATATCAGCACCTCTGGGAACAAAACTCCAGGAGGGAGAAAGAGAGGGGGTTCCCAGCTTTGCCCTCTTCTCAACTGAGTATAGTGGTATGTAATGTTATGACATGGTCGACACTAATGAGGAAGCCTCCATGGTTCACCACCCCAGTGGCTAGGAACTGGGAAATTGCAAGGACTCACAAACTGCAGTCTAGAAAGGTAGGGGGAAAAGGTGGTGTAAAATCCAGAAGAATGTCATAAGTGAGAAAGTGAAATGGGTTACTGTGAAACCCTATTTTGAAAAGCAGACTGCTCCTGATTTATTCAATCAAAGTGACAGGAATGGGTAGCAATCCCTTTCTGATTTACTCATAATAGTCCACGAATAACAGTCTGCCAAGTACTTAACAGAATATTACATATATAGATATACTACTAGGTAAGCCCCCTAGTGATCTCAAGGAACACCCCATCTCAATAGTGTAGATTATAACCATAAAGGTATCTGATGCAAGTTTTAGAGGAAAGCATACCTGACCTGACAACACTCACCACTGAGTAGGATCCGAGTAGATACTGAAGAAAAAGGAGGCCCATAGAATAAAACAAAACAGGAAAAGACAATTAATAAAGTTACAGTCGAAACGGTGCATGTAGAATCACCAGAGGAGGTAAACAATATCCACCAGAGAAGGATACACCAAGATGGTGCAGGTAATGAGAAACAAAGGCAGGGGGAGTAGTCAACATTCCTGCATGGACGATCTCCTCCAGAATATGATGAAAATGAGCAGCTAGATGAGATGATACACAATAAAGATGACACCCTTCCGAGGAGAGGGAAGAGTAAGTCAACCAAACCAACTGACAAAACCAACCAGAAAGGGGTGAGGGAAAAAGGTCACGTGACACAGAATGGGTTCCAAGGAATAAACAAATGGGACCAGGAACCACAAAAGGAAACTGTATGAGCCACATAGCACTCCAGACCCCGTACAGGACACAGGAGATGATCAGGATCTGAACTAGAATAAATATGGGAAATAGAAGGTACAGAGTAGGGTGAGAAGGCAGATTTTCCCTCATGGGCAGCAGATGCTTTGAGAAGGAAAGAATGATCCAGGTAGTGCACCATATTTGTAATATGATAAAGAGTACGGAAAACATCTAATGCAAAAAGATCAGACCTATGATAACTGCAAGCCAGGAGGAGAAGGAAATACGTGTTGAGGAAAAGATGATACCTCGAACACAAGGACAAAAGTTCAAAGGGAGGGTGAGAAAAGGCAAAAAGGACAACACTGGGATCCTAATCAGTCACAGAAAAAGCACAGTGAAGACGAATAATCTGAAAGGACTGGAACAGGAAGGAAAGAACAGGAGAGAAGACCCGGTGGAATCTTGTAAAATAAAATGTGTTTGACAAAGCTGCTCTATAACCAGAAACTATCAAAACAAAAGACCCTGATCAAACAGCAGGGTGACAAACTGGGAAAGTTGAGGAATGGGAGGATGGGAGGGACAGAATCCATGTCTGAAAAACCAGTGATGAAAAGTGGAAGGACTGACTGAGAGGGAAAGGAGAGAAGCAACTCGCAATGTCAGACTACGCCTTCTTGCAAGGGGCCTGACAAAGCCACGCATGAAGCCACAGAGTGGAAATAGTGGGATGGAAGACATCCAAATGAGGTTGACAAAAGAGAGGTGGAAACTCCCAAGTGAACCAAGTATTGGGTAAGGGAAAGAATGGACTTCTCCACTTCTGATTAACCAACTCAGATGCCAAACAGGAAGGAGCCAGAAGAAGCCAGTTATTCATATAATGAAGAGACCAGAGTCCCAATGAATGTAAGCTCTGACTATCTGACAAAACACATAAAAAGCCGAGGCTACCCCAAAAGGAAAAGCCCGGAACTGGAAAACACACCCCTCATGGACGAACCGAAGAAATTGATAAGAGAAAGGAGAGATGGGAATGTGAAGGTATGCATCTGCTAGGTCAAACTTCATCCATAGACCAGGAGTGAAAACCCAATAAAGGACTAGAAACAAATCCACAGTGTAACAAAGAAGATCCAGAAATTGATTGTGACAAGAGAGATTGATGACTGGTCTCCAATCCCCAGTTTTCCTTGGGGACAACAAAAAGTCAAGCATAAAATCCCAGCTGATTGGGAAACACAGGCTCTATAGTGTGTTTGTGAAGAAGGTCACTCACTGCCTCAGACAGAAGAGCAATGGAGACTGGATCTCTTGGAGAAGAGAAATAGATGGGAGACATGGAAAGAGGAGGTGGTAACCTGAATTGGAGAGAGAGAAAAGACCCTCTGACAAAACCCAAAGAACCTAGGAATCAGTAGTGAAGGCCTCCAAAATGTAGGCAAAACGTTGTAGCCTGGCTCCCACAGGACCTAAACCCATTGTGTAGTCACTGATACCACTAATGATGTTCATGACGAGAAGGAAAAAATAAGGATAAGCATGAGAACATCCAGATGTGAGTAAAGGACAAAGCATGGAAGGAGGAGGATAGGAAACAATAACAGGATCAGGAGAAGTGGAGGCAGAATTTTGCTATAAATGATTAGCATGGGATGAAAGTTATATAACTTGGCCACATCAACACGAAAATCCAAAGAATATTATGTCATGCAAAAACAGAGCCCTTGGGGGAAAAGGGGGAAGGCACAAACCCACAAGCAGCACGTCTCTTCCCAATAGGTCCCAACAACAAAACTGCCAGATAAGTAGGGAATGGGCCAATGAAGATAGTCTAGCCAACATCGACCACAAAAGGGATCCGAGGTTCCCCAAAAATTCACTGGGAGAATGGTGAAAGGCCTCTGACAAAAGGTGCATAGAGGATAGGTAATACAAAATATTAGAAAAGGTAAGGTGAATCTTTTAAAACTGTGCCTGAGAAAACAAGACAAAAGCATCAGGATTTGAATCCCAGAGGGGGAAAAGTGGATATAACCTTTGTGAATCCAAATAAGGATTCAAAGTGTGATGAAATGCCCAAGTTATTGGTCCAAAACTCACGATGGTCAAGGTATATAAACCCCTGAACTTAACTAAGAGAATAACCACTGAGCATGAACCTCAATGTCACGTGAAGGTGGAAATACCAAATAGTTCAAATTAGGAAGCTCACACAAAAGAGAAGGAGAAGCAACATAGAAAACATTTTAGGACAGCTGAATCTTGTTTCTGGAGCAAAATTTTAAGCATTTTAGGACAGCAAAGACTTGTCTTTGAAGCAACATTAAAATTAAAAAATGTGTTTCAAAATGAACTCATATGATTCCTTTCTGTATTTCCCATACATGATACAAGAAATCAGAATAGAAATATAACTATAAACTGTGTTTGTAGGATTGTATTTAAAAACAAAATAGTGATGAAGTTATTAATAATATAAGTCTAGTAGTTGCTTTGCAAAAAGGAGCCAGGTCTGGATGCATATTTTATCAAGGACAATCCCCCCAGCTCATGCTGCATTTTGACTGCACTGAGAATGTTAAATAGGTTCACTGCTACCCTAACTTTTCTTATATCAAATTCACTAACCTGCACAATCTCTCCTGAGTGAGGGTCATAAATTCTGATTTTTCTATCTTTGCATGTTGTTGCCAAGCAACTGCCATTCCAGCTCCAGCAGCAGTCAAATATAATATCTGGGTGCAAGATTTCGGAGAGAAGTTCACTTGTTCCAATATTCCAGATCAAGATCCTACAATCAGCACCTATAATTAAATGAAATCTCATGTTACACCATTTCTATATAGCCTCTCACACCAAATATATTGTTGCATCAGCGAGTCACATGACCACCGTGATGCAACGGTTCTAGAACTATCATGTACTTTGGCGAATGTTCTAGTTCTTACTAGATATAGGGTAGGCTGGTATATAAAAGAGGGGAATGTAATGTCTGGGTAGTCAGTGAATAATTGAACTGCAGTCAGAGAGAGACGTATTGTTGTAGTTAACGTTCGTTCGTTATTATAGTTTCTTATAACGGGATTGTTGAAGTTGAGTGTATCGTAGAGTTGTATTCGGAAAGAATAAACCAGTTTTATTAAGTAAAGACTTGTGTCGTTAAAGTTTCGTCGGAACGAAGTTACGGAAAGTTAATTAACAAACGGAGACGTAACAATATGTTAGAGATTTTGAAAACAGGGATGTAAGATCATAATGTTAGCCACAAATGAGTACTTAATTTCACACTGACTCCAATGTAATGAAAAATTAATACCCAAATTTGAGAAAAAACAAATTCCCTTTTATTATGCTTGTACTTTAGTACCAGTACAGCCCTTTTCTATATATACCATTACTCCATTAAATACTTTCTTTACTGAGTTTTTATAATCACTTTATATAAAACTGTTTCTTTTAAACTAGCAGAAACCTGTAAAACACTTGCAGCCAAATTAGCATCTTTATTGCAACAGTACTTCTTTAAATACAGGATTTCTGTGATAATCCAAAGGATTCCAACTGCAGACACTGAAATCTATAAGTCCACTTGCCTTAGGCCTAACATTTATTAAACCTTTATTAACTACAGCTTATATTTACAAAAAAACAGATAAATTAACTCTAACTTGTGTGTATTTTTTGCTTTAGTTTAGTTAGGGCTAAATTTTATCATACTTAATACTATCAACAGATAAACTTATAATATTATTCTACAACCTAACATTAGACCTTTTTTAAAGACTTTGATAAGATTTTAATGTTGTACAAAATGTCTACTAAAGTATATTTATGTTTTGTTTACATCTGTTGAAATGAAGTGCATACTCATGCACATATAGATAGTAAGGTGCATGTGAATTTTCAGGACAAACAAAAACAGAGTATTATTATAATAAACTACAATCTTACAGAAGCTTATATTTCTACATTTAAAAATACAAGAGGGAATCCTCAATAGCCATGGAACTTGAAATTCTTTCAGGCAGGATTAGAGTAAATTAATGTACGAAACCTTTTTTCCTTTTTCTTAGCTATATTTTTGTGCACCAGCAATACCAAGTGTGGGCACTCGTATACCCGATTCATTTTTATTACTCATCAGAATCTCTACCAGCCTACCCTCAAATTGAAATTCTTTTAGGCAGGATTAGAGTAAATTAATCTACGAAGGTGGTCAAATACATCAATTGAAAGGGTCCTGAACCCAAAACTGTAATTATATCTCAAATTGGTCAAGAGATGATGGAACTATGAACTGAACATTTGTAGTTGAAAAACTCAGAGCCATTCTATGAATCACTATGCCACAGCTAATAATGATACTTTATAGGAAAGTCTATATACCAATTACAGCTTATTCTTAAAAAACAATTATGAAACCAATGGAATTTAAACATAGAACACATATTTCCAAAGCCTTTATAGTCAGTCCAGCCCGAATGAAAGGTGATTCTCTCACTATGAATAAAAATACTTCTTTTCACCTTACAGTTTCATATTCCATTTCCATAACCTCTAAAACTTCTTAAATTAATATCAAAAGTTTATCTCGTATTTTCTCTACCTTAACACTTACTGTATTGAAATCAGCAGTGTAAAGTGAAAGGAAAAATTTTATACAATATAAAATAAAATGAGTAACACCTTTTTTTTAACTCTGCACTGAATGCAGTATTGTCAGAAAGATTCAAATTACTTAACAGCTTTAACTTTAACCTTTTAACATACGCTTTCTTTTAATTTTATTATTTCATTACTCAACCTTGTACAATTAGAACAATCTAAGCATCAAAAGCAATAAATCATAGCCAGGAGCTCATTAACTATTTTCCATAGAGTTAATGTACACAGCTCATTACAGTGTAATTTGAGACATTTTATTTTACTGAAGGTTTCTTATGCTAAGATGAGAAATTTGTAATTTTTATATTTTAGTTACTTTTGTTCAAAAATATATAATAATAAAAAAACATGCATACAAACAAGGTTTTGTATTACACACTTTGTACTTTAGAAATTTGCATTCCAGCAAACATTCTTATGTAAGGCTTACTGAGTCTCATAAACTAGGGTGTCCAAAAAGAATATGTAACTTTCAAATATGCATTTCAGAACACAATAAATATATCTGTCAATGGAACAGACTGTTCCAAATCTACTATAATTTATCCAGCTCTCTTATTAAGTTATAAATAGTTTAAAACATTCCTTTAGTTTTCAGAGCAGCAAAATATTATCATCACAAACCCAACAATTCCACTAACTACTAGAATACAGCAGGAACTCCAGCAACTTCTAAGATTTACATAAAGGAGAACCCGCTCTTTCTACTGATTATAAGCATGTTTATCAGCAATGCGATACCCCCAATATATCAGAGATGCCATTCATCAAAGAGGACTATTTCTATTTTTAATCACTGGGAATACACAAATTATGAATACATAAATGCCTGAAAGCACACAATTTGCACTTCACTTTTAATTACTTACTACTTCAAAGCAACCCTACACAGGACTCTGCATTTTAAATCACCCATGATAATCAGTGAATACAATCAAAAATTGCCATTTTTCACATCACTCAAAGTAATCATAAAATAAGACAGTCTCAGAAATCAGCATGTGCTCTGCAAATGACAAGTCTGTGCATGTATTGTACACTGTTAATAAAATTATTTCATCTTTGTATAAAAACATTATTAGCAGATGAAGAAACTAGACAGGACCAACTACAATATGAATATTCACCCACAATTATTATATAATTCTGCATTCAAATATTATTATTATATAGTACTCAGTCTATAATTTGTTTTTGAAAAATTTCATATTTACTTTTATATTTATTCCAATGTCCTCTGAAGCTAATAAATTGGTTGTTTAAATACATATATCAATTATTCATCAGCTAAATATTTGGTTATTCAGTCAAAAAATTTGGTTGGTTATTTGGTATCTGGCAAAGATACCATCCATTACATCTCTCATTTGTTATGTGTAACATCAATGAATCAATAACAGCCACTTTTTAATCCAATAAGTCAACTTATCCTCCACACCAACAGAGAAAATATTTTTAACAAACCTTTTATGCAGCACTTTAACAAATAGTTTCTAAAAATCCAGATGCACAAAATACACACCCTTACCCTCATCTACACAAGCAGTAAATTTAAAAATTGTAAAATAATTAGTAAGGCAAGATTTTCCCCTAGAGAAACTATGTCAACTATCCAATAAAAATTGAAACTTTGTTAAATGACTTCACAAGGCATCTTGACTTTAAAAAAATTTTAATATAATATAAAGGTTGAAATTATTCTACAATTATTCTAGCAGGCTAGAGCGGGTAAAGTGTAAGGTAATTAATTTAATTTTTGAAATTCAAAACTATTCCCAGAATGTGATTGCTGTCACTTTAGTTAGACCCTGAACTTCCTAACATTACCTCACATACACTAAATAGCTTGTCCAACAGAAACGAACAAGTATAAGAAACTATGTTTAGAAAGAACTCCTTAGAAAACACAAACTTTTTTACCTACCAGCACTCAATAGAACATTACTAGCAGATGGATGCCACTGTACAAGTCCTACTTTTTTCTGATGCCCAGCCAGCTCCACAACTGGATCTATCATTGGGCACACTAACCCATCTTCTGGAATCTGCCAGACACGAACTAATGTGTCATCTGAGCTACTAGCTATAACATGATCATTGTGGGGACACCAAGCAATGTCCATTACAGGTCCCTTGTGGCCTGTCACTTGAGGATAGCTAACATCGAGCCGCCCAGTCTATAAATAATGTTTAGGCACAGTATAAGCTACAATCATTAATTGAAAAGATACAAATTAACAGCAAATCTACAGAAATGTTAAAATTGCAATTCATACACACATGTTGTTAATTAAAATAATTATTCATCAGTTTACTACCACACTTTCTTTGAAAAAATCAAACAGAACAGCAGTGAAGTCTGCAATGTTCATATGCTGCCTTAATGAATAAAATTTTTTACAGGATACTTGTAACTCTCTACTGTTTTATTATGCTCACAGGACAAAAGGCAAAATACTTTAACTTGACAGGTTTGTAACTGTTCTTGATTAGTAACATGTACATCTAAATTCATGTTTATATTTTATTGATATCACATGAGTCTAAACTTTTCACCTATTTTGCATGTTCCTATCTGAAGAAAATGTACTCTGGTTTCCTCTTCATCATTAAAAACTAACATGAAATAACTGTCTTTTAACCAACATCAAAATGTTACATTTGCATGAATAAAAGCTAAATTTGGTAATAAAGAAATTAATTTTCCATACCATAATATGCCTTCTTTTTTTTAAATGTTAGGCTTTTATTCACATTAAAGCATATAAAACATTAAGTCTTACTATAAATAACTGGTATTGGTTTTCTGTATTACAGTAAAAAACCTTATTAAAAAGTTGAAATTTGTATTTGTAAAGAAGTACAAAACAAAGCTATCAATTAAAACTGTAATTCATACACACATGTATAAATATATGTATACTAATGATAATTACAACTACATCATACAAAATGCCTTTATTTGATTCTCAAATAAATACTACACTTTAATACTACACCTAGTTAGACATGTGTACAGTTCTACTTACTTTCTGAAGAGGAAGCACAAGAAAGGCTCCACCTCCTGCTATTTCTGTAATGATTGCCAAAAATTTTGGATTGACAGCACAAAAATTGGAGTCCCATGAATTTTTGGTTATTCTAATATTGTCATAGCACTGTTCCCTCTTGAGTGGTTGGCCAAACACATGGCGAAACTTGCTCTGTCTCACTATTCTAAATGACATCTGGAACAAGAAAAAAATCACAATTTACTATATGTTTCATAACTATAACAAAACTGTATGTGCTGAAAAGCAACATAGACACTACACTGAAATAACATGTGCAGAATATAAAAAAGAACTAAGTAATAACAATTAATAGTTATAAATATTAGTATTAATATGAATGTGTGTAATATACTGTTATTACTATTACTAGTATTAGTGTTAATATTATGCTCGGTCATGATGCTTTTGAACTTTTGTGAATCACTCTGAATAAATACTAAATTAGATTTTCAAAAAGTTGGTATTTTACATGTTAATAAATATTATCGGTCTTAAGATATTTTCAAAGCTTTCATTATTTCATACGAATAATTTATACTTCGAAAACTGCTACAAAAATACGAAATTGTTCCGTATGGTATAAAGGTAACATCAAATAAAGAACTTACATTAATCTACTTTGAGTTTGAATATATTTCTTCTTTTTCGAGTTTTCGTTTGTCCACCAACCCACAAAAAAAAAAGATTAACTTAAAATTTGAAAAACTTTCTGCAGCAATTGTCAGTTAACACGCATGTGATTTATAAAGTAATACCTATGTAAAAACACAAAGTCTCTCACGACCATAAAAAAATAAAAAGTAAAACCTAACTCACACAGGCCTAGTAGTAGTATAAATTACATTAGTTATGGTTTGTGCATCTACACTTTAAACTTTATTGCAGCGTAAACGAAACTTCAAAAACCGATAACGCCAAACCCAAAAATTATAGAGAATTTGCGCATGCGTTAGTTTTAAGAAACTTGCAGATACTCGCCACGTAAAATATAACAGTTAACTTATCGTGAAGTGTTACGATGATTCAAATCAGTATTAATATATCAATTTTTAAACGGGATATAATCTTGTTTTTACAATAAGCACTTAAATAATAGGTGGCGATTGTAAAGCATATTTTCTGATAATATACAATACAATACTAAATTTGAGATATGACGACAGTATTGGTAATGCTGCATAAGATATACCAATCCACGAGAATTCTTGGTCGTTTCACTTACATAGCTACATTTTTCATTGTTTGTTGAATTTTGTAAAACTACTCGAAGGCTGTCTGAGTTTACCGTTCCTCATTCAGAAGTGATATGCAAGAGGAAAAGCAGCCAGTCAGCACTACCCACCGCCAATGAAAAATCCACTTTTTTATTCGCTCAATATAGCCACTACAATATACACGAAAAACATTTACAGCTTCATTTCAATGTGAGTTTAGCGTTCCTGTCGGTACATCGCGAACTCATGATCTCTGTAGAAAAGTGATTGTTTAGAATTTGTCTTGTAACATTCAATTAAAGACAAATATAAGAAACCCAAGCACCTTCGAAAGATTTATCTTATAGATCATAAGTCTTAATAACGGATATTCGTGCATGATAAATTAATTTTAGATATTAATGTATTCGAAGCAAGTAAATAGTGCTGAAAACAATATATTGTT